TTCTGCCTGTTTGGAAATGGACGGCACTGTCCTGCTAAGAGCTGCTCAGCACTTGGCTTCCGCTCCTTTACACCATTTAGGCTTGTGTATTAAACATGCGAGTTATGCAGACCCAGATATGCTTAAAAATAAGCATGGACTTAAAAAGTGTGTTGGACTGAGGCCAGAATGCTCACAACCATACAGGACACGGCACTTTGGCCTTCAAAATGCTCTTGTATGTGAATAACTTTCCGTTTCCCTGCGGAAACCTTCTTCAATGACACCATTCTGAAGGCGAGCAATTTAAAATCTCCGTGGACTTGTGCAGATAATGTAGTCTCAGATTCTCCTCCTGTGTCTCCAGTACCTACAGTAGGTCAGTCATTTCTCCAAACAGTCATGGAAAATGAAACAGACCATCTCTCCAGTAGAGCCCTGGGAGTGGGACACAAATCTTTCCATTCAGCAATGAGAGCAACCTCATTTCATTTTCCAGAAAATTGTTCTCTAGCCAAAAAATACTGGTGATTTTCATTAGAGCAATTTATTTCTCAAAGGCAGCTGAAGACAATTTGTACCAATGACGCTAAATACCATACTTTTGAGTGTTTATGAGGCTGAGGAGCAAAGCAGCTCAGGCAGCAACGAGAGCGCTTTGAACACCACAGAAGGATTCTACCTGTATGATCTGAGAACAAAACGAATATGTTTTGTGCACCAACTGTCCACATTTACAGTATCTGCTACTGCCACGAAAGCGCTTTAACTCTCCTGAAGTAGTGCGTCAGGTTCTTCTGGCATGTAGAGCTGGCATTGCAGAAGAGAAGTGAGAGGGAGAGAAAATGGAAAGAAAAGGGGGGTAAAGTCTCCAGCTGCAGCTAACCAAGATGGTTCTGCTGTCTCCAGAGCCATGATATGAAACCCTGTCCTGGCTACTACCCTAACCAACTTCCCTCTGGTGCTCTGCACCCGGAGCAGCTACACGGCAGTCTGGGCTAAAGCACAGACTATTGCTCCCGGGTGATGCTGTCACTGCTGCAGCTACAGAACATGCCCTGCTGTGTCACGCAACAGACTGGGGAGAGGGCAGCAGCCACAGGCTGCATCCATCGCAGCCTCCGAAACACGTGCATCTGTCCGTGCTGCAACTGTACCTTTTTTTGCCATGTAGATTGTTTTTTATAGTATGCAGATGGACTATGATTCATAAAGCATAGTGAAACCATATGCAAATAGCATATAGCATTCCCCTGGAATTTGCAAAATTACAACAAACAGGTTATTTGTATTTGTTATGCGATCTTAAGAGAATGTGTAAGAAAAATTACAGTAGGAGTGGAGAAAATAGTATTTTTTTTCCTGTCCCTGACATGTATTATATTGTTCCATCATGCCCTCCTGCTCTCCTTTAGAATCCTCAAGGAGAAGTGGTTAGAAAAATTTGCCTGTTTTCATTTCATAGGGGGAGAAGAAGAAAATAAATTTACACAATTAATAGATTAAAGATGCATTAACATAAAAATCACATTTAATCTTCTGAGGAGCTAAGGAGACAATAAAATATCTTAGGAAAAAATATATGATTTTTAACCTAAAATTCCTCTTTCAAAGGAACACCATCATCTCAGGACCCATGAAAAGACTTAAAAGGAAGCAAGGAAAATCTTGTTGTTTAACAGGCTAGACGAGGCTAAGGAATTCCAAGTCCAGTTTTATGTCCATCAGAAATTTTTTGAGTGATACTGGACAATCACTTAGCTCTGCCCCCCAATTCCTTATCTGCGAGCCTGTGATGTTCACATGTTTTTTTATCCTGCCATCTTATCTCACCAATAATATCTGGAGCATGAATCAGTTTCAGCAGGTTGACATGGGTCACCATATCCTAGAACAGCATGCAAATGCTAAATGAATGCAGAGGTAATTTCTGCATTGTAGGAAAAGATGGAAGAGGACTACATGGGATTTCAACATTTCTCTGCTATTTCTTAATTTTTATTTGTATATCCCATGGGTATGTATAGTCCTTTATTGACAGATGATGAACATACCACATAAACTAAAAATGCCTCGCTGACAGAAATCAAATGCAAGTTTCTATCAGCTGCACTACAGAAACACACTTGAGGGCAGTAAAAGTGGAGGGAAAGGGAAAAACATTTTTTCCCTCAAATTTCTTTCTGCTTGAGTGACTCTAGGCCCAACTTGCAAAGATAACAAGTATAAAAAATTTCAGAGGAGTGCAATTTTACCCAGAGCATTTCTCTTTAATAAAAATCTCAGCTTTCTTCCCTTTTTTTAAGCAAGCACCTGGCCTGAGACAGAAAGAGCACGGTCTTGGATGTGTGCGTATGTTTATGAGGGAAATAGAGGGGCAGCACGTGCATGTATGTCTGCTTTATTCAAATAGGACCTAGCCAAGCTTTTATTAATTTTAAATAGATGACTGTGAGCACAGGAAGAGTCAGTCACAGAAAAGCCTCAATGGCTTTGTCTCTGTAATGTTCTATGTTTTATCAACTAACGCCTGTCTTGGAGAGAGAGAGAGAGAGCAGCATGCTAGGGAACAGACAGCTCAAGTGGATGGTTATAGGTTGGACAAAAGGAGCTGCTGCAAAAAGCAGCACTGATATTGTGTCCAGGGTCCAAAACAGATGCTGGAGATGAAATGCAGCATGGTGCAGCGAGAGAAGTGCTGACTCCGAGAGCACTGCTGGTCAATGAAGCAGCCAGACGCACCATGCAGAAGCTTGTTAGATGTGTGATCGCAGTTTGCTGTAGCCTTTCAGGGAAATAGGGGTTTTGTCCCTCTCTCCAGCTGCTTAAATAGAAGACTTTTTGCCTTCTCCCACTACCCACTGAAATACAAACTTGTGGCTCATCAGTGAAACCATGTTGTCCTAAAAATGTTTACTGCTAGGCAAAAATCCTGTCTCAGAACAAGAGCAGGATGCTTCTAGGTGGATTATCTCATGCATGAGATTTCAAACTTTTCACTAAAGTTTTTCAAATGGAAGAGCTGAACCCTGTTCAGTGAATGAAACCAATGTTCCTGTGGTTACAGTAGGGGAAGGACAACCAAACTCAAGGTTCCTAATCCTAGGCACCGTGAAAGCAAGTTATAGTGCATAGGACAGGATTTCTGATCTTCAACTCGCTAGTTGTTCTTTATCAAGTCAACTATCTCTCTGTGACTTACTTATCTAGATAAGGGATGTGCATCATACCCATCACACCAACTCTCATAATTTTATCATGACCGAGAATCCAGGTTTTCATTAAAAACAAGAAAAAAGAAAAAGACTATAGCTGCAGAAGAAAACTTGAAAAAACTGACTGAAGGACATACAAATGCAAATGACTCAAAAGCCTCAAGAAAGTGGGTGACTAACTTTTAAACCTCAAAGTTTTTAATCCCCATCTACATGATCTGTGAATCTTCAGAATTTCTAATGGCAGAAAAACTGCTGTAACCGAATGATATTTTGAAGACAAGGATTAAAGGTTCAGGCCTATATCTTAATCCTTTTGTTCTTTAGTTAGAAACTCATAAATGTTTTATTCCTAAATTTCATTAGTGGCAAAAACAGTTGTAGCAGATGCCAGAGCTGTCAACAGCAGATCTTGTCTCCGCACAGACAAGCGCTACCTGGAAGTGGCTTGAGTACCACTAATTATATACATGGCAAAGAGGAGACATCCCAAACCAGTGGAGGGAACCTCTCTTCCTCTCCTCCTCCAACACCCCATTTTCTTCTTTCAATAACTGAATCATTGCAGGACCTCTGGAAATAAAAGAACTCAGTGTAGTGAGCACCTTTTTATGGCCCACAGTGCCAGCCAGCAGCCAGGTCTCTGTGTGCCAAAGGGTTATTGACAGGATAAGAGAATACACTTATAAAGGTGCATTCAGCCTACAAGCATGGTATCTCTGTGTACGCTGATGAGGCAAAGAGCAAACACTACATCTGTAGCTTAGAAAAGGCCCTACGTACATTTAAAAAAAAAAAAGAATGTTATGAAAAGAAATTGTAATTAGATTCAAGCTTTTTTACTGATAGCAAGATGTAATTAATAGCCTGCCAGGGAGGCCTGTGTATTTTAAAAGAGCACCTAAGTAACGCAACAAAATAAGATGATACAGGTTAAAATAGTAAAAAAGAGTCCAGCACTGTACCAAGTCTTTCTTAGCTCCCAGTCTGAGTTTTTAGCAGGATACTTGGGCTCATTGAGAAGACTCTGCAAGCCTTTTGTTCAACACAAGCGTACTGGATGTTGATACAATTTTGATAAACGAATACTCATACACTAGAGAAACAGAAAAAAGTGGGGGAGGGAATTGCTTTGGGGGAACCAAAAACAAATCACAGAATTTCCATTGGCCAAAAAGAAAAGTCTCAAAAATTTTATTTTGGGTCAACTTAAAGGTTTAAATTATTTTAAAGTCTTAAATAAACATGCTAAATTTGGGAATCAACTGTTATTTGAAAAGAAAAGTCAAAATGTTCCAAAATGAAAGCGTCAAAAAGATATAATTGGCCACCTTCTCTGTTCGTTGAAACTACCTGCCAGATTCATTAATTGTTTTTGAAGACCTAAGTGACTTTTATTCAGTAATGTAATTTATTGTGAGAAAATTTTATCCTGCTTAACTACAAACTCACTTAGAGAGAAATACTGTCTCAGTCCTTCCTATGTGGAATATATGAGATTTAAATTGTTTCACATAAAGAACAAAGCATGCAATCAGTTCATCAACTCAGTAATACATAAGTGTAAAAACGACAAATTTATATCTTGCGCAACAGTATTGGATGGCAAAAGCATATATGTGGATTTCTGCATGAATGGTGCTGCAAATTGTGAATTATTCCATTTTAACCATGCTGTCCATGAATAAGAGATCATGCCATTTTCGTGCCAATGATATTAAAAAAAAAAACCAAACCTTCTTTTAACCCAATCAAAAACATTCTGAGAACGGAGGAAGCCAGCGCATTTGTATACAAAAGACTGACCTTCTTTGGTGGCAAGACGTGAGGAAGCTTCTGTGTGGGATGGAGTATTGTAGACCAGCAATGAGCTACCTGTAATTCAAAGAAAAGGGGTTACTGCAGTTTGAATGTAGTCTGCTAGTGGGGGAACAAAGCATGCAGGCAGAAAATGCTGTCCCTAGGATGTAAATACCAAATTTTTCACGCAGTTGGGCACACAATTTCCATGGTGGACACAAAGTTGTTCTTAAAGTGTGGTAGCCATATGTCACACACGTGCTACTGAGTGTAGACCAATGAAGAAAGTTTTAACCTGCATCAGGTGTCCAAGTAGGAGCTGAATTCTTTAGGAAATCTTACTCTGACTGCGCCTCCTCATGCCCTGGTTATCCTGATTTCTGATCCCTTATGGAAATCTGTTCTTCAGCGAATGCATCATTACATACACCCGGTCAGCAGGGTTTCCTATGCCTTCTAATAACCACTACATGACATGGCTCAGAAGGCTCTGCCATTTCTATATCTAGACTATTGGATGTCTCTCTTTCTCCTTTTGGTTTGCTTGTTGGCACTGTCAGCCCTTTGCAGCATGGACTCTCTCTTTACATAGACAGGAAGAGACCAGAAGACCTGAGTTCTGTTCCTTGCCAGCAGGACTTACTTGGTGACCCTCCCCTCTTTCCGACTATTTCTCCACTTGCAAATCAAAATGAAGACATTTGCTTCCTTCATAGAGTGCTTTGAGGTCCTCTGTTGAAAGCTGCTATAAAAAGGTAAGGTTGTATACTACATTTATGCAGATACAACACCTGTCACACCTGAGTGTCTAGAGATTACTATGGCATAGATTGTATTACAGGATGAGGAAGAAGCTTTCCTCTTTGCTAGCTGTGATAGAGAAATTTCCTGTTTGAGGAACATACAGTAGAAATGCCACAAATTGCATTGTCAGGATCCAAACATTTTTAGTGGCGCATGCTTGGTTTTGGTCTTACAGCTGCACAAATCTGATCAGTATTCCAGCATCTCTCCTGATCTGTGGGGTTTGACAGCAGCTTTCTTGATTCAGGGGGGCCTTTCGAGCCAGCCCCATCTTGAAACAAAAGTATTGCAGAGGAACACCAAGAAGAACCCATTGGAAGGGTTTCTGCTTTGTACTATCTACAGTGGAAATGTTTCTTTCTAAGCATTTCACTTTGATTCCCCTGCAAACTCCTCTGGAAACAGAGGGAGAGGCCCTGTGAGCTCTTGGAAGCCAGCATGTAATACACATTTCATGGTTGTCTAGTTATATGTATTTACCCTACATAATCTTGTGGGCTCACTTTTCACACAGATCTTTGAAAGTTTCCACTGCATGAGGTGGTGACATTTGTAATGAGGCCAAGGGCTTTTTCCAGTAAGGACTGATGATGTAAACTGGAGCAGGGCAGCTATCTTGGCATGGATGGGTATCGATGAGAAGTGCTCTTACAGACACTTTCTGTCGTTCATGCCTACACATCCCTCTGTTCAGGGAGATTCTGTACCGTTTAAGGTACTTCATAAACCTGGTCCTAAGCAAAGCACAGCAAACTGTAGCTTTCTGTGCGTGATGTGCTGCCCCTGAACATCCCCAGACTCTATGGCAGGACTAAGAATACTGCTTTTGCAGGCACTATCATACTAACTGATCAGGATCCTGCGACTAAGCTACACAGTCTCCATATTCCTCTAATTCACATGATCCCAAATAGCACTAACCTCACCTACCCCTCAGTAGTATTCACAGTATGTCTTGCTGTCCTGTGAGAGCTGAGGATTAAGCAGTTGCCTGTCAGAAGTAATAGCTAATTGCAGGTGCTGGCTTTAATTAGCCCTGCGTTTGTATGGATTTCTTTTATTTCCCCAACACAAACAAAACCAAAGATGTGCACAAACCAGCTTATACACAAAGGTAGAAGGTGTTGGAAACCAGGACTTTGCTAACTCGGAAAACAAAACCTGCTCACATGAGGTAAGAGGATGGATGCAAACAGATGCTGCAACATAGAGGATGTTCCAAAAGATCAGGATGGATAAGATGGCAAATCAGGAGGGAA